CCATCGAAGCACCTAATCTACTTGCCGTCTGAGTACCCAAAATACGTACTTGTTGAGAAGTTCGAATCTCGGACCTGACTCGTACTTAGCAGGGTGATACGGACATACATGCAGATTGCATACTTTAGATTAGGTAGTAGGACCTGGACAATGATACCCGGTGGCCAAAAGTACCAATTTCAATAGTAATAAAAAGAGAAAGAAGATGAAGAGAGGGGCTAACTAGTGGAGGCAAGTCAACGCCCTAAATGAGAGAGACTCGGGGGTGACGGAATCTCACTGCACTGGAACTGCTGGGCTGGGAAGCTGTTCCCAATATAGTTGTTGGGTAGAAGGTAAACTAGTCATGAAGAGGAAAGGGTCTCTAGTACTACTATTTTGCTCAGCAGTAGTGGATCATCATCATCCATCATCTTGTCCAGAATAATCGCTGACGAACGTGGATATGGTTTAAAATGGGGGGAAATAATCTCTCAAAAAGTATAACAGTTAGCTTACTGCGCTATCAAAAAAAATTGGGGGGTGCTATAGGGATGGGGACTCCATACCTAGACTACTTGTAGACAAACCATTTACACACACTCACCCACCCACCACTCCCCCAAGTGAGTTGGCCATCATGGAGATTGAACTTTCCTTTACTTGCCGAAGCAGGAAATCTACGAGAGAGCGCGCCGCCTCGGGAATGGAGCTATTAGTTTTCTGGGTAGTGGATTAGGGATCCCACGGGATCCTTTCACAGCCCCAGCTGGCTGGCCGAGCGAAGCGTGCATTGATTTACTAGGCAGACAGACAGACAGACAGACAGACAGAATCCCAAGTATGTCAGTATAAACTGCTAAGTAACTAACTAACTACCTGGCCAACAAACGTAACCCACTAAAAAGAGCTAGTGAGGTCACTAGAGGCAACTAACACCGGCCTTGGGGCTGGGGAAAAGGTGCAGGTGAACCGGAGCGCTTAGACTGGGCGCGCCAGCACTATGGATCAGTGGAGGCCCTGAAATACCTGCTTGGTACTTTACCGATACCGACCGATTCAGCCGGATATCAGGCTGTGTCAAATTCCTTACGGTACCTAGGAGGTATACTGAAGGTATCTTTCTTCCGTTTCTTTACGCCATACTAAAAGCACTCACTCACTTCCCGAGTGCACTTACCGCCTTTAAGTGTCATCAACTCACTATCAGAGCATAGTACTTACTATTCAACCGTCGACTCCATAGCTACCATCTACTAGACTGTAGTAGTCTATACAGAGCCTCTAAGCCTGAAATCATGCCACACGAGGGAGTATGACTAAGTCACCGGTTTTTCTCGGAAGGATTTCACCTCCATGACTTATGACGATCTCAAACTAACACTGCTCAAGGTTTTGGTGCTTCACATTTCGTCTCCACGGATTTCACTTGCCAATCCACATCTCAATACTGATAGACTTCGGGTGTCGCTCGCAGCCCCAACAGCCTCAACTATATCATGTTAGCTAAGTTGAATGATCGTCACTTACGAGATAGGTTGTTGCACGAGTGACATGGCTGGGTCGAACAAATGGACTTGTACCGGTTAGGGAATAACATCCACCCCCAAGGTGAAAAAAAACAGCCAGAAGGGACGGAGTCTTGACCGAAAGTAGAGAAAGGGAAAAATAAAGAAAAAGAAAAGAAAAAAGAAATATTTTCGACGAAAGACAACTACAACAGTAAAGAAAATCTGAAAAACCGGAATAGAAAAAAAAAAAAAAAAGAAAGAAAAAAAAAGAAAAGAGAAAAGAGAAAAGTTAACATCTGGCTAGCTCTAACTCTGAATGAAATCATGTCGTGGCTTTGTGTTGCCGGCTGTTTTAGACCCTCGTTCACCCTCCAGGCGACTCTTATCCGGACGGGTCTTTCCTGCCTATCTACCTAAGACTAGATGCCTTAGCCCCAGAGTAGCTGCCGTGCCAATTCCTCCTAAGAAGCTAAAACAAGGCCCTCGTCTAGTTCGCATCGGCAGATGGGGCAGATGGCCTCGCTTCTCCCACTCAGGACGCCCAAATCACGATGTCTTGCATGCATGCGGGCAACATGCTTTTGCCTTCCTTCCCCCCCAAATGTGGATGACAGACGGGTGACCGTCGTCGTTCCCATGTCAGCTGCTGATCACCGTTGCTTCTCACCTTTCTAATTCACAGGTTGTTATCCTTCAGTACACCTCGAGGGTTCTGTCTCCGTTACTTCCTTACCTCGAGGTCGACACTTCCTTATCACAGGGTGTCTTGATAGGCACGTTTGGTGACCTCGTTTGTCTCAACCTAATGGGTCCTTCCTGGTGGCTTAGCAGAGTCTTTAAAAACTGGGTCTATGGGCTGTAAGGATCCCCTTTCGTTGCACGCAGGCAACAGAGAAGACAGATCATCGGAGAGACTGGCTCGTCATCATATTACTGCCATCTAAGTGGTCCACGGAGGATGCTTTGTGTTTTCATTCGGACTTTGGTGTCCAGCAAGGTCGGCCCAAAGGCCAAAGAGAAACTGTGGTGTTTCAGCTACGTCATCGGGCATCAATCGCTCTGTAAACACCTCAGAAGCAAATGTGCAATAGATGGCACTTGATGTATATCCCGCAAAATTCATGGGGACATAAAGGTGTCTTGCCTACCTTGAATCATCAGCAGCATACTCATAGACTCTACATTGCGTTTTAACTGCTTCGTTGTAGAGCTTCTTGGTCTCGAAGAATGTTCTCGGACTGTATATGTTGTTAGAAAGTCACCGGATTCAGGAGATATCCACTTGCAGGCTGCAACACAGCCCAAACACATGCAACGAGTGCAGTTAGCATCCTCTCTTTTTCAGCAGTGAAGCTCAAATGCTAGGGTAACCCAGCATGAACTCTTGGGTGCTGCAGGCGGAAGCCAACTACTATTAGAGACGGGCGTACAGGCTGGATTGGTGGGATATAACAGAGTCTCCGAAGCTTGCATCATGGGGACCAGGCCACTAAATTCTGAAACTATTGGTGGCCGAGCTAGTCCGGATTGCCGCGTCCTTGACTGTCAGGTGGCTCCCACTTGCTTCGCTTTGTCTTTCAACCATTTCACGACCACCGTACTATCTATGATAACATCGCCTATACTTTGGGGTTTAGAGGGTATTGGTTGGGACGGATCTCTGATCTCTGCTGCATGCATGAGATTGAGACACGATGCTTGTACTTTTGAACTTGAGAAGTGGGACCGGAGAAGTCAGGCAGAAAATCGAAGAAAATAAGATAAAAAGATAATAATGGCCATTGGAATAAGGCAAAGGAACAGAAAATAGAGTAAAGTAGGAAAAGAGAGTCCGTAGATCTGTCAAGTACATATGTCGGTAAGGATCGGTGAGCTCCATGCTTCTGCAGAAAGTAGCGAATTACCTGCAGTGAGCTTGGGAAATGTCTCTGCGATCTAGCCGATCGAAAGGCCGCCATTGGCTAGCAGCAGGAAAATTGGTGGCCCTTCCTTCGTTTTCAGTGGGCGGGCCCCCCTCTGTACTACCTCAAAAGGGACTGTTGCTTCGTCTAGCTGGCGCACCCAGCTGAATTGGGATTTCCCCCCTGCTACGGAGTAGTCAATGCCTCCGTTAGTCACTAGAGTATTTCACACGCTGGATGGTTCGCTCTGAAACCCCACGGACGGGCGGTAACCTCGCTAGCCACGGCAAACAAGATACGATCGCATTCGTATCTCCCTTATCAATATTGAAGAAATCGTAGCTACTGCCCGTCATTAGGTCATGAAAAAGACGGACGATGATGGTATTGCCGCGGAGTAAGGGTGATGTTCACCGTGTCGGTATAGGGTAAATTTTCTGGTTATGCGACCGGCACATCGGTTCTGGAAGCCTCTTCTAGCCAACTGCGGGTCACGCCAACTTGGTCTTCATATGGTGAGCCAATTCGTGCGAAACTACATGCGATTTAGTGGAAGGTTGGCGGTAGAGCTAGTAGCTACCTGCTATCTAGCTCTTCTCTCTATGGTAGAAGAGGTACACACGTTACCTGATTAATATGTGCGGGAAGTGGAGACGAGGTGTTCCGTCCTCATTTGATTCATCCATCGTGGCGGCTTGACGGGACCAGGCATGGCATGGGATGATGAGACTGATAGCAGACGCCAGTCAGGCCAGCGGTCGGGATCGGAATCATTCTCCGCCTTCCTATTTGTGTGCCTCTTTTCGTTCATTGTTTGCTCTGGTAATGAAGGACATTATTTTATCCTTGTTTATTCAATTGGTCCCTAAGTGGTCACCTACTCTGCCACGGTAGCGAATCCCGGCGACTGTTGATTTTAATTTATCGATTTTTTCTTTACTCATTCCTGCCCTGGGCTAAATTATGGCCCAACCCGGCACCGCTCTGTGGTACTAAAAGACACTAGGCCGGGGAAGACCACGGGGACGCAGGCGGAATTGGAAATGGGGACGAAGTGTGAGAGAAGCTGCATTAGTTCGTGCGTTAGCTCATGTTTTAGTCGGAGGAGAGGAGAGGGGGCTTTTCCCAGAGGAGTGGTTCCTGGTTGCGTGCTATTGACGGTTATCAATTTAGACCATGGGGGAGGGACGAATTTCGAAGCAAGCCGTCGGAAAAGGATGGTTTTGGAAGAATAAGGTGGCTTCGGTCTGAATTCTCGAATGTTGGATTTCGAACCAAGGGGAGAAGAAGGTTGCGAACACGGCACCCTCGGCCATCTGACCTGCCTTCCTTCACAATCCTGCGAAGGAAGTGTATTTTACCCAAGGAGGAAGGTGAAGACGGATTATATTTCGAGAACTTATCAATCACGACGCCATTCGATCCTAGGTAGCAATAACAAAGCCCTTTTTCGATCGCCACAGAACCTGCAGTGAATGGTATTGTCTCCTCATTGCTTTTTCCTCCAATAATTTTCCTTTTTTTGCGTATTTCATTTTTCTCCTTACCAAGCCTTCCTTCCTATCCCCCCCCACCCTCCTTTGCCTCATTATTTGCTTCCTGCTGGACTGTCAGTCTCCAAGTTGTGATTCGCCTTTGTTCAGTGCCGCTGTAGCCGTCTTCAGCTAATTGTCAACGGTTATCCTAGTGAGATTTATCTCATCCTTTACTTATCAATATTATCTATCTTCTTTCGCCGTGAATTCAAATTTGTTCGCATTTTCTCTTGACACTGTTTTTACCTCCATAGGTTACGGGTCCAGATCTCCCAACCACGGAGTACGCAGGCAGCAAATCTGCGCATCGGAAGGTATCCACTCTGTGCCCTCCGTACTTTCGAACTGCTGGCCCTGCGTCGCTTAGCTGGTATTCTCATGTACGTAAGGATGTGCATACTTACATCTGTACTTATTGAATGTATGTATAGTAAGTGTACAGTCAGGGAATTCAGTAAAAGTACTATTACCCTGCAGAGAGAAAAAAAAAAACAACAATAAGGGGAAAAAGTAAAATACATATACATAGCCAAGTGGCTCCAGTCCATCCACGAGTCTCTCCGTTTGCCTGCACCTCTGCATAACTTAATAACGTACCTATCATCCACCCACCAGGCCAGGCGGCAATGATATCAGAATAACCGGTATGTTCACATGGAAGGGCTAGCTCCGGCTAGATCCCAGGCCCCAGGGTAAGTGATGGTATTGCCGTAGCGCATATGTGCGGCATATGCATGCAACATGCTTCACACTTGTCACCCACCTTCCTGGGAGAAGTCAAGCGATCATCAAGTTAGACTCCGGATAGGGCAGGAACCTCTGCATGCGATCTAAAGATCCTGTGAGCTGGATGCCATTGTAGAGGACCCGGAAAGAAGGTAGGTTGGAGGAGGAGAATGGCATTATGGGTGAGAACTTGTTCTTGTTGTTTTCTGGCTGCAACCTGCATGTCTGTCTAACCCCAGGCACCAATCTTTTCTTGGGCGTACTTTGTACCTACTAAAAACTGTGCATGATTGCATGACTGAACATACTTCTAGTCACGTCACAATAAGTAGATGCTAGAATGCTAGAATGTACCTTACCACTCAGGGCTATACATTCCTCCAGTAATAGCCACTGTGATTATTCTAGGCCCATCGATTTACCTGCCGAGTGTATTCATGTTCCATCTACTTGCTTGACTCTAATTAATTTCCCCACAACCTCTCTCATGCAATGTAGCGGTAAGACGAGTGACAACTTCCACACCAGATCATACCTTCGATTATATCTCTACTTACCTCTCCTTTGTGATTGATGATCAATGTACATATTTAATTCTTCAGTTCAAATAACAATCGACAGACCCATCCTGATAGGAACATTGGCAGGAAAGACAAGGGATAATTTGGAAAAGTAGTCAGCAAAACAATTAGGGGGAAAAAACCAAAGTAAATCTGAAAGGGAAAAGAAAGCAGAAAGCAGAAAGCAGAAAGAAGAAAGAAGACATACACTTCTTTTGGTCACTTCCAGGTCTGCTGACTTGCGGTTCCCAAAAGTCCCAGTGCCAACTCTGCACCCACCGTTCGTCGATCCGCGGACCTCTCACTTATCCTCCGGTTCCGACACGGCCAAGGCAGCCTTTCATCCTTCTCCATCGGAAAGAACGACAACTGCAAGGATACGTATCTGCTGCTGCTAATATACTTTCAATCCTGACCTCCGGCATGTCTATCACAACATGTAACAACGATGCAGCTATGTTTCACAACATACCCTGTACTGTAACCAGAAGTACCTGATTGCTCCACTTCAGCTCTGTGGGAATCCTTTGGCTAACAGACTCATCATTTTCTTCTGGGCAGACATTACATTCTGGCTCGAACAGTGTCTCAAATACATCATTTTCACGACTATGTTGATCTCTCTACATGGGCATACAGAGTACACGGCTCCGGTCCAGAGGCTCCAACTGGCGATTCCTTTCAAGGTGATAGTTCGACAAGCGGTCAGATCGGCTTATCTTTAGCAGTCAACTAATTGCGCTAGTCTATCGAGTACTACCTATTGTGGGCAGCCTTCAAGTCGAAACTCGTTTTTAGGCTTACCCTTGATGCCGACATCGACTCTATAGAGCCGGCCTCCATACCGGACGGATTCCGGAAGCTGGTCATCATTGGTATCATCCTTGGCAGTCGTGATGAAGAGCTCCGTTCCCACAAAAACTGGACAGGTAATGTTTCGCGTGGGAAAAGTTATCTCGCCAATGACCTTGCCCTCCGGCGAGATACGAATCACTTTTCCACCACCGTAAATAGCACTCCATATACAACCCTCCTCATCGATGGCAGACCCATCTGGCTCCTTTGGCTCCCCAATGTCAAAGAACACCCTTCGGTTGCTGATGTTTCCGGTCTCAGCATCGAAATCAAAGGCGTAAATCTTGCCGGTGGGAGAGTCGGTCAGGTACATAGTGTCATCCGCAGGATTCCAGCCAATCCCGTTGGGAATCGTCACCTGTTCAACCATGCGGTGCAGTTTCATATCCGGGTCCAACCTGAATATCACACCTTCGTTGACTGGGTTCTGCACCTTAGGATCGTTCATGGCTCCAGCCCAGAAGCGGCCGTGGCTGTCGACGGCCCCATCATTGAAACGCATTCTGTTTTGATGACGTTCCCGATGAGTCAGACCTCACGAGGAGGATGGCAAGAAAACTGGATTATTGACTTACCTATGCTCCTTGGCCGGATCGTCCCACACTTTCTGAATATAGGACAGTGCGCCCGTGGTGCGGTCAACCAGGGCGAATCCATGTTTTGCGGCTACGACGATCTGGTTTTCGCGTGAATCCCCAGCATTCGCAATGTTGGCGGTTACTCTACAAGAGTTCGGAGTATGATGTTAGTGTCTTTTTGGGCACTGCTTACGGTGTAATTATCCTGTGGGCCAAGGAGTCTAGCTAGGAGCGACATACCCGATTGACGCAGATGTGTCCATGATCTTCAGGGAGTCGGGGCCTTTGGCCAGATCCAGAACATATAGTTTCTGCTCCCAGATATCGACAAAGCGAAACTCATTTCTGGTCTTGTCGTGAAACGGTCCTTCCAATAAGGTTCCTGGTACATCGACATACGGCTGCATACAGAAACCAGTGTGAGAATCAGCCTCCTAGTTCTTACCTCCTTGGGCCGGTCGCCTTCAATTAAAAATAAACGTAAGATACGTTACCTCAGAGACCGTCCACTTTTGGTACTGGAAGCCGGACATTTCGATGGCAGGCTGATGTGCAATCCTCAGAACCGGTGGTTCAGATATGGGGATCAGATCGGGAGCAACCGTGGACTCAGCTGGGTCGAGACACCCTAGTCAGTTTAAGGAATATGCGCGGCGGCTACAACCAGACGATTGCTGGAAAATGGAACCGTTGTGTGAGTGCTGAGGAATCCAGCCCGAAAGAGAGAATCGATAGTCGAAGTCTCATGGGCAGCTTTTCGGGATTATCCTCGGCTGCCAAGCCCAGTCGCCAGTCGTCCCCGCACGAACCTCATCGAACACTTTTCTGGTTCTTCTCACCTTAGCGTTAGGGAGCTCATGGCTAGTGGGGCTAGCTGGCTTCTGTGTGCTACGGTGCTAGTCTACGGAGTACTATCTACGTACCAGCACAGGCAGTCTGGCAGTCTGGCACTGCCCATCGGGTCACTGCTCCGTGTCAAGTTAGTCGGTACTTTCACCGGTGGGTAGACCAATTCAGGTGCCACGGGTGCTAATCAAGTCTGGACTAAGCAAACCGCGTCGGTTTCAGCTGAAGCTCGGCCTCCTGCTCGTCGTGCCAATAAATAGACATAGTGTCTCATGGGATGTTCGTGTCTCTCACGGCTCAGGAAAGTACTCCAAAGGTCCAAACACCCGGCTCGATGGCCTTTTCACTATTGAGACCGCCGGGATTTTGGTGGATACGATTATTGAAACCCACCATCCAGGCGCGACTCCACCCAATGGAGCTGACTATCACCTGTCATGTGAATTGGTATCAGCTATCTGGACCAACAGTTTCGTCACAGCAAACGTGGGAAAACTTATCGAATGAATGCCCAGGAAAAGCAAAGACGAGAAGGAAGAGGAAGCCAGGTACCCACCGGCGAATGCGTTTGATCGGGCTAATTGAATGGAGTCTCACCATGACGCCAGCCAGCCTTGGTGCTGTCAGTGACAGGGTGCGGCAGGCTTCCCGTGTTCCGCCTCATTTGTTCCAGACAAGGGTCGCGGTGGAGCAAAATCACATACGGGGCGATGTTACGGACAAATAGGAATGCACCCGGGGGGGACCTCTCCTTGGAGCATTGTGGCAGTCTGGAAAATATGGCGACAGCCAATAGCGGTTTAATTTAGGGCTTAAAGCAAGCTGCGCGACAGAGCAGGATCAAGCAATGTGAGTCCCGGATCTAAAAGCGTTACTTGGATGCAGACACGGCATATCCGCCCAGGGTCCCAAATTTCGGAATGATGTGGAAGATTTCCCTACCAGTTGGAGGCCAGCCTTCTGACTTACAGCCGTTACAAACGACAGCTCCCCTGCACTGACCACCCAATATTCCTAAAAATTGGATCTTACTGGTAGTATACCCATCTCGTCCAAAGGTCGCGACTAGTTACATTCTACAATGTGTGTCGCGCCAAGAAAAAATAGGCATTAAGTAAGAAAAAAGAAAGGAAAAGGAAAGGGAGACCAAAAAAAAGCAAAAACGAGTCAGAGAGAGAAGGATAGTAAAGGAGCAGCTACGATGTTCCTAGATTGCAATTCCTTCGGGACTGCGCCAACGCTAGGCAGGATCCTCGCCTATGGTTTGGCAGACTTACGTTGCTTTTGCTGGCTAGACCGGTTACTCTAGCTGACCTAGTGAGAGAGTTGCAGCACAGACTGAGACTTTGTGACTGCCCCCATCCAGGCGGTCTAGCAACATGGCTATTGATGAGCGAGACTACACGCCGGCGACTTGACGACGGAAGTGACCTTGATCTCCGTCTATCTGGGGTGATCGTCGTCATAGTGCTAATCATGTACGAAAGAAGTAAAAGAGGGTGATAAAGTCACGGTCGGTTGATGGGGGGCGTTGGCCACAATCCGCGACGCTGCATTGATTGACGGTCGGACGGCCCAACATTGGGCCATCGACGGTGCAGATATACGAACGAACGGAGTCGGCCACACAACCTTAATAGGTCATCCAGCGTAGCCAGGCGGGGGGAAGAATACATTCGACCAGCTCAACGGTGATGCATCAGTTGGGCGGGCAGACAGTACCTGCAGGAGGCAAACACGACCGAGATTTCGAGCCAGTGTTCGGTGGATCACTCAAACCAGCAATGTGTCCGCGAAAAATGCGGTGTACGGCAGCAGACTGGATGCGGCGTGTCATGTCGGTCATATCGGTAGCTGGAAGACTCTAGCCAGTGGGTATAGGTTTAGGTGGGTAGTGGGCTGTGGGCAAAGAGCCGGCGGCGCGCGGGCTTTGGGGGGAAGAGGGGGATATCCCCGACCGTTGTAAAGTGAGTGGTCACATTGAAGAGAGGGGAAGGATGAAAGGAGGAAGGAGGGGGGTGTGATGCCGCATGGCATGTTGAGATTGAAGATGGATGTACTTATGTATGCAAGTGTGTCCAGATTTAGTTCTCTCCGCGCGCGGTGCGATTGCAGGCGGCGAGGAGCAGCGATGGGGCCGCACGGCGCGAGGCCTAGGCAGCCCTCACATGATCGATTCTTCATGCACGACAATGTAACTTTACATGGCGGGTGCAGGTACGGGGCCCTGCGGTATGGTATGTATGTATGTATGTATGGTATGTTTGAGTCTCGGTTACGGTAAGTATGGTATTTCCCTTACCCAGCAGGAAAGTGGTTGACTATCAAGTAGGAGAATCCATGTCGAGCACAATCCTCTTGACAAAGAGGGGGAAGGAAAGAGTAGGAGAGATACTGTATACGCAAGTGTCTGAGCAATCCCATATCATGTGTGGCGACTGGGGAGACAGACAGGATCAACCCTGATCAGCCAGTTAAGACCCCCTCATCCTCTCTCACACAATCTCTTCATCCTCCCCGGAGCCAGCAACTCCGGCAAACCCATGCCCAGGATGCTCCAACCTAGCTAACCACCTACTAGTTAGAGTAAAATAACTCCTGTAAGCCCCGACCCCAGTTCCAGTCCCAGTCGCAACCCGCCACGACAGTCACGACAGTCACGACACATGGCTCTACGTTCGCAATGCAGCTAGTTAGCCCCCCAGCCCAGCCAGCCAAAAACCAAATCCTCCGTCCATCCTTCTGCCTATCTCCTCTACTAGTTAACCTGGTAGGTACCTAACCTGCCTGCACATTGCCCTTCCCCTCCCTCCCTTTCCTACCAATGGCGATGCACGGACACGTGAATTCGACAAATATTTGACGCTTGGCTGATGCTCATTGGGTATTGGCTTTATGTATGTGGCTTTTTTGGGTATTTCTTGCATTAGGTTGGGGGTGGTGCTTGCTGTGTGTTGGCATTAGTGTCGGTGGGAGTAGTTGCTGGGAGGGAAGTGTAATACTTACTAAGTTGGTAAAGTGGTAGGACTATGTTCTATCCTGAGGTAGTAAGTAGTATGTAATGAAAAGTATGTGTGGGTTGAACAAACATGAAGTTAATGTTTGAGTTTGATATGATGCTACATTATGATACTTGAATTATCCATGTTGCGGGTGGGTATATATCTGTCAACAATTATGACCTACCGAGGCTTTACATAAACCTAATAGTGGCTCCTAGCATCTTATTATCGAGCAGTTATCAGTTTGCTTAATGTTTAGTATGTATCTACCCGCAATAACTACCTAGCCTACTAACTAAGCCCAGTAAGCAGTTATAGCTAATTTCGTTTCTTCAACTCCCAACAAACAAACAATCAATCATTCAACCAACCAACCACTCAAACACTACATACATACCTACATACATGTATGTATATAAATAAGTATCTTCGATGCAACAACACAAACACGCACGCACGCACGCACGCACAGTGCAGTAAACAAACCCTATTAATGAAGTATCCCCAAGCAAACTGCATAAACTTGTTCAGAAGTTAAGATGATACATGCATACTCCGCTTACAAGTTCTAAGTTTCTCATCGGAAGATATTCTCAACTTCATTACTTAATTCTAGTCTTCGTTTGGATACAACTTTGTTTACTTTGCTTGACTGCAGTGTCTTGGATATACTGTGCGTCATAAGAAAAGTGCAGTATGTACTGCAGAATGTGGATAGATAGAGAAGTTCGAAGCGAGGATTGTATTTCCGGATGTAGTTAGTCCGCAGTTTCATATATAACTTCTGTTTTTGATTGGGATGATGATGATGATGATGGATAGTCATGATGTGTAGTTGGATACATATGATTGCCTTGTACATTTATTTCTAGATAGACATCATATTAGCATTAGGGTATATCCATTTTTTATTAGAGTACTATTATAGTGTTTGTTATTAGAGTACTATTATAGTGTTTGGGAAATATATATATAAGTGGGCACTAGTACCATCCTCTAGAAAAGCTCACCCCGTCCGACATTTCGGTAGTAATTCATATCTAATAAAAAACAATATATATATCTAATAAAAAACAATATATATATATATATAACCACTGGAAGAATATCAACCCCAACAAATATAGTTAACTAACCCTGCACGCATGCAATGCACGTAAACAAGTCAAGGGGATGATGGGATGGGATGGGGAAGAATATCTACCGACATGCAGATGGAAAAAAAAAAAAAAAAAAAAGGAACGCATATACCACATTTTATTCTATGTATGTCACTCCCACTTTCACCTCTTACTCCTAGTACTCTCCATATCGCCGTTCAAAACTTGATTTCTTCATTCTATTATATTTTAAATCATTATGATGTTCTACGACTACTACCACATGTACATGTACATGTACATGCACCCTGCACGAAGCACTGAGTTGTCACTTACATACCACATACCACCTACAACCATACATACTACAAATCACATCACTCTACAGTAGTAGTACATACAGTACCAACTCTCCTACAATATGGAAAGTATATGCAAGTAAGGAAAACTCTCAGCAGCCAAGAATAACCACCCACCCACCCACCCAACTAGAATCGAATCTACACCCCCTTGCTTCCCTAACAACACTCACAAGCAAGCAAGCAAGCAAACCATCTTTACTACTTACATATAAGTAAGTCCGGTTCTTGTCCAATCGGTCTGGGGTTCCTATTTCATATTTGGATAGCATGAAGCAGGTAAGCAAGTAAGCAAGGAAGCGAAGTATATATGGTAAGTCAGATCAGGTACTCATGCTTTGCATTTAGACTGTTTGGGCTTGGCGCGGGGGAAAGTAAGATTTTGGATTTGATTGATTGATTGCATGGTATGTATGTATGGGTTTGAAACCGGATTTCAATCGTGACTGTTGGGCCACTTGGATGGCCTTGTTTTTTTGTTTGTCTTGGTTTTTGATGATTGACTGAGTGAGTGAGATTGAAATGGTTGGGTTTGGTAGGTGCTTGGATTGTTCAGGTGATGTGCATGGTGTGTTTATTGATGTGCAGATGAATGGACATGCATGTCCATGCCAATGTGGATGGGTGTGGATGTGGGTTCAGTGAATCGTGTGGAGACAGGTAAGCGAGTACTCTGTCCTAGGTATATATGCTGTGAGATCTAGTATTTGGATGTGTAACATTTGGGCTTGTCTTTAGGCTAAAAGGGCTTGTTTGTGGCGGGGTTGGGTGCTACATCACGGCTTACGGTGGAATGTGAAAGATCACTCAGGCTCAGAGTCACAGCCTGCTTGCCAGTTGACATGGCTGAATTATAATACATTTTTTTTTTCTTCATCGTCAGTCAGGGTATAGTCAAGTTGGCAACAACACACCAACTTTTATGTCAGTCATCGGGTACACGACATGCAGCCAATGTCGCAGAGCCACATAGCATCTCTCTTTCTCTTCATGCAGCGCCATCAACACAACGGTCCATCGGATGCATGTGTATGTGTTCGTCCTACCAGGCTCGTCCCACAGATCACGGTTGCAATTCATTCGCCATCATTTGCACAAACCGTGCTCGCCTACAGCTTCGTTCCCAGGTTGACATGGACCGCTTTGACCTGTGAGTAGGCCTCCAGACCGGCCTCGCCAAGTTCGCGCCCAATTCCACTCTGCTTCACACCACCGAAAGGCACCCGGATATCGCTGTCGTTGCTGCTGTTGATCCAGACCATGCCCGCTTCGATCTCCGACGCAACCCGGTGCGCACGCTCAATGTCCTTGGTGAACAGGGCAGCGCCCAGTCCATAGGTCGTATCGTTGGCCCGTCTGACAGCTTCGTCCTCCTCCGAGAAGCTGGAGATCACAACAAACGGTCCGAAAACCTCCTCCCGGTAGATACGCATGTTGTCCTTGACGTCGGTGAAGATAGTGGGCGCAATAAAGAAACCCTTGCCGTCACCGACGTTCTTGA